ACTTGTCCCACCTTATAATTTGGACGAGTGGCGACTCCCTTCTTTTTTATATTTTCACACTTAATAATCCCATTTTTTAAGTGGTCGTCAACAGATTGGCGACTCCACTGGGGACTGAACCTAGAATCCTTGGTTTCCATATTCTAGGTTCACGAGGGTCGAGCTAATACTTTAACTTTGGGGAATTTTCAACTTTTGATTTTTCTTTGTTTGTTGAGTCTTTTGTGGGTCTTTGTTATTTATTACATGTGCTTATTGCATGTTGCTTCTTGTTGGTTGCTTATTACGTGTTTGCTCATTGTTTTAATGGTTGCTTTGATTATTTTTGTCTTGGAGTGATTATCTTGTCATATCATGACATGCATCATACTTTGCTAACATGTTCATGCATCATATCATCTCACATGCTCATGCATTATTGATATTATATGCTTAATCATCATGCATCATGCTTACATGCCTATTTGCTTGTGTGTGGATATACTCACCTTTTGCACTTGGCTATGGAGTACTCAGTGAGCCTCTTCCCTCTTGTGCGATTATTTGTATTTTGTTGCATGCTAAGCGTTGGTTGCTTTATGTTACTAACCTTCTGCATTTGGCATGGGAGTACTAGGTGAGTCCCTTCCTGCTGTGTAAATAGGTGTGTTTGTGGATGCTATATTTGTTGAGTGCTTTACATGCTTTATTTGATTGTCGTGGGATATATGTTGCTATTTTTGTGGTTGCTATTTTTGTGGTTGCCATTATGCAGGTTATTGAAGTGTCATGCCCTTTGCACACACTCACTCTCATTTTGCATTAGGTCCGTGTCGGAGGTGAACCCGACCTCTAGTCTGGAACCCTTACGAATCTGGCTTGGAAGAGCAATTCTTCCCGCTTTGAGGAGTAAGATCGGTTCTCGTTAGGTTGTTTCCATTGGTTAATACGACACCTGACGATGTAATATCGTCCTGTGTATTAGCTTTTGGAAATATCTCCCGTTGATTCCGAAAGGATAAACGGTTGAGAAGGCCTAACGCCCTTTAGGAAAACATGTAGTAGCCTTAGAGAGATACCAGCCTTAGGACATGTTTCCCGTAGTATCCCACCCGTGAGGTTAGGCTTCCCGTGTTTAAGACACAAAAGGGGCATTTTACTTCACTAACCTTTGTTTGCGCATATGGCAGCTTATCTTTATATTCTTAAAGAGGTATGGCATGTGACGGTATGATTTATGTTTAACTCTTTTAAGCTTTCTGTTTAGGTAACATTGTGCATTAGACATGGATTTTACCGAGGATACAGTTAGACAAGGGAAGAGGCATGAGGAGGACATCACATCTCATTCTATCGCTAAAAAGGCCAAGGGGTCCATCTTTTCAGTCAATACCTCCAAACCTGACTTGAAGTTGTTGAAAGAGGCTTATGGTTTGTTGTCTTCTAAGGAAAAGCATGACTTTGAGGTCCGATTTGGGTGCATTGTGGATTTATTGTCAGTAGTGCCGGATTGGGATTTGTTCAGAGCTATGTTGAAGTTTTATGTGCCTCAGTATCAAGCTTTTGTGTTCCCACAGTTCGAGTTAGTGCTTACCATTGATGAGTACCATCATTTCCTTCGGTGTAGTCCTGCAGTGGATTCTTGTTCCTTCACTCCTCAAGTGCAACATATGCAGTTCACGCAAACAAAAGTTCAGGAAATGTTGCATGCCATGTGGGGCTTTTCATTTGAATTCTCACGACCATTGGTGACGACAAGAAATAATTCTTATGGGTTTGATTGGAATGCAGCATTAATGGCCTTGGGAACAAGATTAGGAGGCATGACATCTTCTCAAAAGATTAACTTTGTGGCGTTGGGAATCTATGGCATGGTGATCTTCCCTATTCATGTTAAAAACATTGCACCTATGGTGATAGTTTTCTTTGAGTAGTTGTTGCACACTTCAGCATTTAACCCCGCTCCTACAGTGGTGGCTGAAACTTTGAGGTCTATGGGAAATGTTCGAGCAGAAGGATCCGGTCGTTTTTTGAGTTGCATTGAGTTATTCACTATGTGGGCACATGGTCACTTGGGGAGTCCTCAATTCGAAGCTTTACTTGGTGTTCCTATGAAAGATAGAAAGGTGGAAGATTGGCATCGATCACTTTTGGCTGCAACAGTTAATGATGTCAGGTTTGTCCTCCCGACTTGGAATGCTACTCATTATCTTGCTCCACCCGAAAGACGTCACTATATTCCCTTGTTGGGTATTCATGGAGGGGTTACGTATTCAGTGGAATTGGCATCTCGTCAGTTTGGAAAGGCACAAAGCGTTCCTTATTTTGATGATGCATTGCACTCACATTTTGACTATGCATCTTCTCCGGTGATAACTAACAAGATATCCGAGGCACATGGGGCGTGGGAGAAATGTAGAATGCTACCTATATGGAAGGAGAAAGGGACTAGGCTGCAATATGACCAATGGAGACCAAGTTGGATAGCTAGGCTTTCTTTGCCATTGGAGGTGACAAATACAAAGAACTCTACCATCATGGATTTGACTGCCAAGTTGGAGTTCACCCATACCCAAAGGCAACAGTTGCAAAAGAGGTATGATGAATTAGCTTTTGATCACGAGTTGCTTGAAAGAGGAAAAGAGTTGTCAGATCAGCAAGTGGTGGAGTTGAAGGACAAGATTGCCTCATTGGAAAGGGATTTGGCTGCGAGTAAAGAAATTTGTGGAAAGCAAAAGAGGAGCTTGGACTTTGGTGAAGAACAAAGGAAAAGGCTACTGCGAGTAAAAGCGGATCTTAAAGCAAGAGAAAAGGAGAACAAAGAGCTTATTGAGAAGGTGACTAAGCAGCAAGAGTTGAAAGGAAAAGTGACTAAGTGGAGGAATGCTTACAACAACCTATTATCTGATTATGATGCTCTACAAAAGGAATTGCAAGCAGCAAAGCAATCAAAACAAGGGAAGAAGGAGAGTACAACTTGAAGAACTTGGGGAAAAATGGGTTACTTAGGAGCTTTTGTACGAATGTCAGAAATTCAAATTTGTCAATGAAAACTTCTTTGAATGAATACAATTCTTCTTCCTTGTCAAAAGTATATCCGATGAAGTAAAATCCATGATTTAGGATAAAAATTTTAATTTTCAAGTCTCATACCACATATACATTCCTATTCAATTACACTTATCATTAGCTATAATCTTTGGTCATCCTCTTATTAATATCTTTGTTTGGTCATTTTTGTTTAGTTCTCAAGCTCCTTTGATTGGACCATCTGTGACCTTTGAAAAGAAATATGGATTCTCACACATCCAAGGCACAAGCTTCTTCGCCCAAGACTTTGTTGGAGTTCTCTACTCGTACTCAAAGGCTCAATGAAGAAACCATCTCCTATTTGCATCAATTGACAAAGGACAATGAACACCTTCGCAAAGCCAATGAGCAATTGGAGGAGCAACTACAAGACATGACTATCAACCGTAATCTTTACAAGATTGCCATGGAGGACATGTGCTATCAACTCCAAATCGAGAAGCAAAAGAACCAAGCCCTTCTTGAAGAGGACAGTGACCTGCGTGAAATTATCATTGACATAGCCGCCTTGGTGTCCCAATTTGAGGGAAGGATGGCAGAGACTCATCACCACATTGCTCAAAGGACCCATCCGATTGAGAGGGGATTCTTCCAACCAGTCTTCGACTTTATCTTTGACATTTCTAATATGCTCAGAGGGCTGTATTAGAATTCATGTTCTGTAATGAGTAGGTTTTAGCTTTAAAAGAATGAAGGTTTCTAAGCACTTTGAATGCAACTTTGTAATGCTTGCCCATTTTGTCTAAAGTGCATTCCTTAGTTTATCCTAACTTTAAAAGAATGAATTTGTAAGCACTTTGAATGCAACTTTTGTAATGCTTGCTAACTTTGTTTAAAGTGCATTTCTTTAGTCAATGAAATGTCATATTTTAGTGCAATTTATTGTAAAACAGGAAAAATAGCTTTGCAAGATGGGAATGTCAGTGTGAGAATCCATATGAAATTTCAAAAGGAAACTCATGGTCCAATCGAAAGGAGGCTAAATTCCTTTTAGTTTTCTAATTTTTTCCTTTTATCTTTACATTTCTGTTTGTAGGTAAAAATTCTTTAATCATAGCTCCAAAGCGAAAGATCTTGAAAAAGCGACGTTCTCCGTATTTGCTCAGATCTAGAGTCATGTCCGAAGAAAATATTGCTACTAATCCGGAAAAATCAGCCGTTGATGAAAGGGTTGATAAACTAGAGGCTACAATGCAAGCTATGGCTACAACTCTTCAGGCCATCAGTCTCACGTTGTCAAATCTGACCACTAGTTCTGTTTCTTCATCTGCAACCTTGGTGCCTATAACGCCTGCCTCATCTGTTCCTATTCCGTCATCTACCATTGCACCGAGTAATCGTGCTAAGGCTCCTATGGTCACACACTTACAGTTTCCTCCTATTTATGAGAACCAACCTTTAGTGGGGGAGTCGTCTTCACATGCACCTGTACTTGGGGAAACCTCACACCTACCACTCGAGATGAACAATCCTATCTTGCCCACAACCACACCCTTTACCTTTAACATGCCACCTGTGATGGGACAAATGCCAGCTACTCAACCTACCCCCTCGGTTGAGATGTTGAGGCCTGTTTTAGAGGACGGGAGATCGAGGGAGGTTGATCACAAGTTGCAACAGTTAGAGGAGGCGTTGAAAGCGATGCAAGGGCCACAGTCTTATGGTTCTATTGATTTAGATGATCTCTGCTACTATCCGGGAATCCAGACAAATTTCAAGTTCAAACAGCCGGATTTTGACAAATATGATGGCTCAGGTTGTCCCTATGCTCACCTGCAGATGTACGCCAGGAAAATGGCACCTTATGCCAATGATGAGAGGGTGTTGATTCATTACTTTCAAGACAGTCTGTCAGGCCCGGCAAGCATTTGGTTCTCCATTCTCGACAAAAAGAAGATTCGCACTTTTAAGGATGTGTCTCAAGCTTTCATGAAGCAGTACGAGTATAATATCAGTCTAGCTCCTACAAGGGATAGCTTACAGAGGGTCACCAAGAAGGGTAATGAGAGTTTTAAGGAGTTTGCTCAGCGATGGAGATCTGAAGCAGCTAAAGTCATTCCACCTCTCGCCGACAGTGAAATATGTTCTCTCTTTATTAAGTCAACTACTGGGACCTTCCGTGCATGGTTAGCTCCTTGTGTGGGGTACACTTTTGCTCAATTAGTGATGGCAGGGGAACAAATTGAAGATGGACTAAAGACAGGTATTATTATGGACTTTCAAACCATTCAAAGGCAATTAGAGCAAGCCAAGATGGGAAGCTCTGGATCTACTTCAAAGAAGTTTGCACCCAAGGGGAAGAGAGAGGATGAGGACACTTTGAGTCACATCTTCACTAGTCGAGCCAAGCCAGTTCATAATGTGGGAAATGCTCCTTATAATCAGCAACCTCAATTACATTATGCTTCGGCCTTTAAGCCTTCCACCTATCCTCAAAGGAGGCCAAACTTTAATACTCAAGCTCCGACTAGGCGGCAATTCCCACCCATGAATAACCCGAGGGAGTTCACTAAGCTTCCAATTCCTTACAGTGAGGTGCTGAAACAGTTAGTTGCAGTGGGATTGATGGAGACAGTGCAAGCAAACCCTATTCGGCCGCCTTATCCGTTTTGGTATGATCCACAAGCTAGGTGCGAATATCACAATGTGGTGGGTCATGGTACCGAATATTGTGCAACTTTGAAACATAGGATTCAAGATCTCATTGATGAGGGTAAACTTCAGCTTGATGCTAAGGAAGCTAAGGGTACTCCAAACATCACTCAGAATCCTCTCCCTCCACATGGGCCACCCACCATGAATATGGTTGCTTTTGATGAAGTTGATAGATCCGTGTTGAAGAATGTCAGTTCTTGGTCTCTTGATGAGTTGTTTGCCATTTTGATGGAGTATGATCTGATTCAGCCGCTCGCACCAATGAGCTTGAATGTTTTGCCAGTGATGATTGATGAAGTTGTGATGTGTCCTTATCACTCTAATATGAAAGGGCATGCTTTGCGAGATTGTGGGGATTTTCAGAGAAAGGTTGAGGAGTTGCAGGCAATGGGATCTTTGAAATTTATATCTACTCCAGAGTCAGAGAAATCTATAGCACCAGTGACTGAGGAATACCCGACCAAAGAGAGGCCATATACTCTACAGAGTATTAAAAAGGCACAAGTCATCAGTCAAAATTCTCAACAGCCTTATGTCTTGAAAACCTCTCTTAGTGAGCCATCTGTGGGAAAAACATCATTTGTGGTCAATAGCCATATTCCTTATTCATTTATGGCCACGCCTCAACATGTTACCATTATGGATCCTACAACTAATGATGTGTCCAATATGACTCGTAGTGGTCGGTGCTATGTGAATCCTGAAGTGGAAGAATTAAGAAGGGCTACCTTGAAATCAAAAAACATCAGAATTGAAGAAATGCCAGAAGAATTGCCTAAGAAGCTAGTGTCAGAAAATGAAGTTGCAGAATTTCTAAATATTTTGAGGAAAAGTGAGTATAGCATCATTGAGCAGCTCAATAAAACTCCTGCAAAAATTTCTGTTTTAGAATTGATGCTGTCGTCAGAGGCTCATCTTGATGCATTGCTCAGAGTCTTGAAAGAGGCTCATGTGCCTAAGAATATTGATACTCAGAAGTTTGGGACCGTGGTTGGGGCAATCTTGGCTCCAAATTATATTAATTTCACTGATGATGAGATTCCTGATGAAGGAAATGGGCATACCAAGGCTCTTCACATTTCTGTTCAGTGTAAGATGATGAATGTGCCTCATGTGTTGATTGATAATGGGTCAGCCTTGAATGTGATCCCTATGGCTGTTTTGAAGCAATTGAAGATGGATGAGTCTCACATGAATCAGTGTAACACAGTGGTTCGTGCTTTTGATGGAACAAAAAGAAGTGTGATTGGAAAGATTGAGCTTCCAGTGGAAATTGGTCCTGTGACTTTTGATGTGGAGTTCTTTGTTATGGACATTTCTCCTGCTTTCAATATGCTTCTTGGAAGGCCTTGGATACATGTGGCGGGAGCAGTACCGTCCACTTTGCATCAAAAGGTCAAATACATTGTCAATGGTGTTCTTGTCACGGTGAATGGTGAGGAAGAGCATGTCATCCGAAAGGCTACAACCATCCCATACCTAGGAGTTGATTCTGGAACTTATGAGCCCTCTTATCACTCAATGGAGTGTGCTGCTGCTTCTTATATTCATCCAAAGTTTAGAGGGAAACGGGCTGAAATGGCTAAACCTGTTAAAGTTGCTGCTAAAATCATGCTTTCATGTCATTATCAGTTGGGAAAGGGTTTGGGATTGAATGGACAAGGAATTCTTGAACCTATTGAAGTAATTCAAGCTTGGGGCACTTTTGGTTTGGGATACAAGGCGAAAAAGGAAGATTGGCAGAGAATGCGTGCTACTAAAGCGGAGAAGCGCCTTGCTAGACTTCAAGGGAGAGATCCGAGAGATGAACCAATGTGGGTGCCACACATTAGAGTTACATTTCCACGGCCTGCTGAGATTTTATATCCTTCTTTTGATGGATATGTGGTGAAGCACATGAATGTCTTATATGTAGACCCAAAGGGTATTGTTGTCACCAGTGGACTGCTTGAAATTGGAGAGTGTTCAAAGCAAGCACAATTAGAGGAGGTGGTTGTGGAAGATGTTACTGATGAAGTCTATTCTAATGATGAGGAAGATTGTTTCGGCTTCAACAACCTCTTTGAGTTAGCCAACATGACAGATCCTAAGGAAAGGTGGAGGAGGATGCTTGCTGAAAGGGTATTTATGGAGGGGCACCCCAACTTCCATCTTGTGCATCATGCGAAGGCTCCAATGGCTTCACATGAGTCTATGCTCCTTGAAACCGTGAAAGAAGAATCACTATGTGACTCATGGGGAAATTTGACTATAAATGCCCTAGAGGAGGAAGAACCGGAATTTGATAGGGGAATTTCTTTGGTCAATGGAAGCTCTCAGGCTAATTGGACAGTAGAACTTCTCCCTGCAGCTTTCATCTCTGAGTAAGAAGAGTCAGCCTCTAGTAGTTCTGCTTGTGACTACATGAAGGGAGGGATTCAACAAGCACTTTTATATTTTCTGAAATTTATGTTATCATACTTCTAGTATTCCCATGCTTTCCTTTTCAATGAAACATGTTGCAATCCTGCCTATCATTGTAAAAAATCATCATGATGCAACTTTAGTTAAACTTTTCATTGTACAAGCCACTCTTTAATGATATATTTTATGAGGTTATCCAGTAACATGTTCCTATCTTTGCTTTATTATCATTTGGCCATTTATGTATTCCATCCCAAATTTTCAGGCCTGCTAATGACGAATCTTTAAACAATGACGCCATATCAGACTTTATATATGAGATTGATGATCAGACCTATAATGGAGAAGACAATGAAAATTTTGATCCTTCTCATGAACTAACTCAAATGCTAAGAGAGGAAAAACCAAAGCTGCAACCAAATCAAGAGACAGAAACCATTAATCTGGGTACTGAGGATGATAGAAAAGAGATAAACATCAATGCTCATCTATCTTCAGAGGAAAGAAAAGAATTAATTGAACTCTTATCTGAATTCCAAGATGTTTTTGCTTGGTCCTACAAAGACATGCCAGGACTGGATCCTGATATTGCTGTTCATGCCATTCCACTCTATTCTGAGGCCAAATCAATCAAGCAAAAGCTAAGAAGGATGAAGCCAGAGGTTCTATTGAAAGTCAAAGAAGAAGTGCAAAAGTTGCTAGATGTCAATTTCATTGAAGTAGTTATGTACCCGGAATGGGTGGCCAATATTGTTCCTGTAATGAAAAAGGATGGCCGAGTCAGAGTCTGTGTGGATTATAGAGACTTGAACAAAGCAAGCCCCAAGGATGATTTCCCATTGCCTCACATCCAAATTCTGCTAGATAATGCTGCTAAAAATGCTCGATTCTCTTTTGTTGATGGCTACTCTGGGTACAATCAGATAAAAATGAAGGAGGAGGACAAGCTCAAGACTACATTCATCACTCAGTGGGGCACCTTTTGCTACAAAGTCATGCCTTTTGGACTCAAAAATGCCGGGGCAACATACCAACGCTCTGTGATTGCTTTATTACATGACTTTGTGCATACCATTGTTGAGCTATATGTTGATGACATGGTGATTATGTCCAAAGAAGAGGTGCTACATATAGAAAATCTCAAGAAGGTGTTTGAACGCCTCAGAAGATACAAAATGAGACTCAATCCTGCCAAATGTACTTTTGATGTGGATTCCGGAAAGCTACTTGGCTTCATTGTGAGCCGTCGAGGAATAGAGATTGATCCAGCCAAAATAAAAGCCATTGATGAAATGTCACCACCAAAAACCCAAAAGGAAGTCCGAAGTTTTTTGGGAAGAATCAATTACATTGCCCGTTTCATTGCCAATCTTACCACCATTTGTGAACCTATCTTCAAACTCCTTAGAAAAAACAACCCTCATACTTGGAATGACCAATGCCAACAAGCCTTTGACAAAATTAAAGAATACCTCAAAAACCCACCAATCCTTGTGCCACCATCCGATAAAAGACCTTTCATCCTATACATCACTGTCCTTGAAAACTCCATGGGAGCCGTCCTTGTTCAACATGATGAGTCAGGCAAGAAAGAAAGAGCCATCTATTATGTGAGTAAGAAGTTCAATGATTATGAGAGTAAATACTCATCCTTGGAGAAAACCTGCTGTGCCTTAGCCTGGACATCTAAGAAACTTCGCCACTACATGTTAACCAACACCACTTACCTACTTTCAAGAATGGATCCCATAAAATTCATTTTTGAAAAACCTACCCTCTCTGGAAGGATCTCTCGATGGCATATGCTGCTTTCCGAGTTTGATATTATTTACACAACACAAAAGGCCATAAAAGGGCAAGCCATTGCAGATCATTTGGCAGAGCATGCTGTGGAAGATTATGAGCCTATCGATTGGGATTTTCCTGATGAAAACATTTTGGCAGTGGAGGCAGAATCTGATTCGGATAATTGGAAGCTCTTCTTTGATGGAGCTGTTAACCAACTTGGTTGTGGCCTTGGAGCAGTATTGGTATCCCCAAAGGGTGATCACTTTCCTATTGCTGTAAAGCTTGATTTTCCTTGTACCAACAACATAGCTGAATATGAGGCTTGTATTGCCGGAATGCATGCTGCTTTGGATATGAATATTCGAGATTTGGAGGTATATGGTGATTCAGCACTAATCATCTGCCAAACAAATGGTGAATGGCAAACCAAGGATCCAAAACTTATTCCCTATCACCAATACCTCGAAACTCTCATAAGAAAATTCAGATTCATCTCCTTAAATCATATGCCCCGTGCCAAGAATCAGTTTGCGGATGCTTTGGCAACTTTAGCCTCCATGATACAAATCTCCAGTGATGATGTAATCAAGCCTTTGATGATTGAAATCAGTCAAGAACCGGCACATTGCATGGAAATCAAGGTTGATGACAAACCATGGTTTCATGATATTAAACAGTTCTTGCAAAATGGGGAATATCCTCTGCATGCTTCTGAGGTGAACAAGAAGACAATCAGAAAATTGGCAGCTTCATACTTCTTGAGTGGAAATACATTGTATAAGCGCTCTGCTGATATGACCTTGTTGAGATGTGTTGATGAAACAGAAGCAAAACAAGTCATGACTGAGGTCCATGAAGGGATATGTGGAACACATGCAAATGGAAGAATGCTTGCTAGAAAAATTCTCCGGGCTGGTTATTATTGGTTGACTATGGAACATGATTGCATCAAATATGCACGAGCTTGTCACAAATGTCAAATTTATGCTGATCATATTAATGCTCCGCCTTCATTACTACATAATATGTCCGCTCCTTGGCCATTCTCCATGTGGGGCATTGATGTGATTGGGGCAATTAATCCTAAAGCTTCCAATGGTCATCAATTCATCTTGGTTGCTATTGATTATTTTACCAAATGGGTAGAAGCAGCATCTTATGCTAGTGTTACAAAGAAGGTGGTCACTCGCTTCATCAAAAGAGAGATCATCTGCAGATATGGGCAACCAGAGGCCATCATTACTGATAATGCAAGCAATTTGAACAATGATATGATGACTGCACTATGCAAGCAATTCAAGATCAAG